TTGAAAATGTGACAAAAGAATGATGTAATTGAAACATAAGAGTTTATTTGTAATAAATCAAACATTTCTTGTTTCATCTGTTTGTAATATTAAAATCATGGGGTCCAAATACATAGAAAGAGCTACAATCCCAATCACATGGAAACCATAATCTCACAACTTAATCCCACTAAAGGGGAGACACAATCCCACACCATAATCCTACAACTCAATCCCAACTTAATCCCACCACATGGGAGCCATAACCACTTAATCCCACCAAAACGGATCCAAATCCAAACTAGAGAAACATTACAATAGAAAGCTAGAGAACTAAGAGATGAGATCAATGCTGAATCACACCGCAAGTTTCATCGCCGAAAAAAGGTCAGAATTTGAGAAGAAAATCATGTCCGTTAATGTGAACGACGCGATATTCAACTTTCTTAGAAGCTCAGATCCTCATCACGCATTTTACCAGCAAAAAATTACTGAATACCGTGCTCGGATTCAAGCTCAATTCAGGGTTCCTCCTAAGGTTACTGTAACACTTGCACCAGTTCCTCAACCACCGCGTGAGGAGCTTGGTATTATTAAGCTCACAGCGCAATTTGTGGCGCGGTATGGGAGATTTGTTATGTTTGATTTGATGAAGATGAAAGACCGCCAATTCGATTTTCTGAATCCAAAAGATTATAGGTTCAATTTTTTCACTAAAGTTGTTGAATCGTATGCGAAAGTAATGAAGACTCCCCAAGATTTTAAAAAGACTCTGGGAGAGAATGTCAATGCGACTACGACCATTCTTGAGGGTTTTTTTAGGTTGTCTTCAACGGTAGGAAGAAGAGAAGAGAATGAAATATTGGAAATGACTGAGAGTGAATGGGCTCGTATTGAGTCGGAATTTTTTTGCTAAGATTCAAGAGACCAAAAGCTTGATGAATAGAGAGACTACCACCTTTCTTGCTCAATCTTTGATTTCTTCTTTAATACATGTTTAAAATTTGGTTCCCAAAAGCTATCTATTGCTTCAAGAATGACTATGTTTTCGATTGGCCAGCTAGTTTTGGTTTAAAACATCTTTTTATTGTGTAATATTTTGCGTTGTTTTTGTCAAACAATGAAAATTGCCCCGGAAAATAAGCCATTCTAGATTTGTCGGACTTAAATGGAAAAATATAACCACCGCATTATGGGATTTCTACTCATTGTCAGGCTTGCAGTTTGGTTTCCTTGGGAGGTTATTCCATAAATTTGTGTTGACAAATTACAAGTCGTTACAAAGATTTATCACTATACAAAATTACAAATACAACTCTTATCCCAATACACAACTCTCTTATTAGTCAAACAGAACAATTCTTCAAAAATCAACACTATATAAAACATCAGATGTAACAAATTTTAAATATAAGAAACCAATGATAAAGATCTATACGTTGTATGTATGCATGTGTGTGCCTAAAAATTCAGATCAAAGAAGACAAATTACTCTGATCTTACATTAGTTCTTACGAACTCGGTCCCTGGCTAGACTTCTGTTGCGAAATCGGTCCCTGGCTAGACTTCTGTTGCGAACTCTGTCCCTGGCTAGACTTCTGTTGCGAACTCTGTCCCTGGGTAGTCTTTTGATGACGTTCGCTTTGGCTTTGACGCTGAGTCACATACGTAACCGCTCTATACATATCCGAACATGAATACGCAACCTCGGACATTGCCTGAAATAGCTCGGGAAGGCGAGTTCGTAGACTAGCTAATGACTTCTCTCTAACTTGTTGGCTTTGTCTATGGTAAGCTTCTTCCTCTTCTTCTAATCTCTTTTTAATTTGTTCTACATTGAATTGCCGCACAACGACCTCGTCTTTATCCACTTCTGACCCATCCGGATTCGTCATATCCTCCGGTCCTCTCTTTTGCATGTATTTATAGTACCAATCTTCAAACTGTCTGATTTTTCTTGCCAATTCTTTTCTTGTCTCTTCGCATCTGTATCTGAGTTTCATCTCTTCTTCTTGCTGCTGCATTATCGTGCTTATAACCGCTGCGAAATTGATTATCGCGGTTCTTGCCATCTCGTCAGGGATTTTGTCTAAGCGGTCGTACCAAGCGTGGAGGAGTTTCTGGATTGCGGGATTGGGAACTCGAGGTGGAGAAGATACTTTCTCCTTGAGTGTGCTTTCGATAGGGATGAGATTTAGCTTTAGCCATCCACCGAGTGATTTTATGTATTCTTTCTGATGATCTATCATCCTGCAAAACTGTGTGTGCCATTCTTNAACCACTGCCAAGAGCTGGATCGTGCGTTCGTGATGATGATCGTTTGTTTCTTTCACTGCTTGCGAAACGTCTAGCGATTTCAAAATCTTTGAGATCTCAGCTTGTCTTTGATGATGCATTTGCATCATTTCCCACATCTTCCCCATCCTGCAGAACAAAAGTCCATAACAAAAAAACTCAAAATCATATTGCCGAAAAACATCATCAAAACCATATTCTACCAGCAAAATCGAAACTTACGCCTCAACAAGATGAACGAGCTTTAGATATAGTTGTTCATCCCGAAGACGATTGATCTCTGAAACCGTGGAATCCATAGATTGCATATCAACTATGTATCTTGTATGCAAATGACTAACTGCTGCTTTAGCTCTCTCTAATGAATCCGAATGGCCACCTCGCTTCTTTACCCGATTCAAATGAGCAACCTTCTTCTGGTACTCGATTTTCATGAGTTCACCAGCCTAAATCCAACAAAAAAAAGGACTATTCCAAAATCAGACTCCCAACAGAAACACATATATCACCTTTGCTTATACACACAACTCAAAACCAATCAAAGAGACCAATATCAAGTTCACAAATTTAGAAACTTTACCAGAAAAGACTAACATTGCTGCAAAAATCATTCCTCAAGAAGTAAATTTTGTTTAGCACAAGCATTAAAAGAGAGAACTTTGATATGGTTTTTTACCTTAACTTCGTCGTAGAGCTTTTTCTCCCATGCTAACAATTTGTCAAGAACAGTAGCATGAGTTTCATTCTCTTCCTTATCGAAATCATCTTTCCCATCATCAGCAAGCGGTATTCCTCTAAACGATCGATTCCATGTAATTACACGCATCACTCTAGCAGAATGATCAATGTGACCTGCACAACAACACATTATCTTAAAGTTTACTCTCATAGATTCCACCAAATTATCGAATTTTACCTCGGTTATCTGCGAAATTAGAGTGGTAATGTAGCCTAGTAGCTTCAAGCATCTTTGAAACTTCATGAGCACTTTCAGAAGCCTTCAAGAAATTATCATCAAGCTCATTGAATACATTCGACAAATTCGCCGTCATCACAGGCAATCTCCCTCCTCCTCTCCTATCTCCGGCGAGAGCTATCCCTTTACTCTTCTTCATCCCTCTCAAATTAGTAACATTTTCCACTTCCTCAACCACTCTCTTTGGCTTTTCCTCCACCGGTTGTTTCCGTTCAACCACCGT